TATACCAGGTAAAAACATACTAAAAATTCAGATCGGTCAAGGCAAGGATGAGGGAGAGGGGGTTTAATTTGTCGCCCGGAGGCCAATTTTGCTATTTTACCCCTAAAAAACCACAAAAATGCGATTATTTTTCGAGGAGCTCCGACAACCTATTTCGAAATTGCCCAAAAAACCATCAGGGAGTACCCCACTACAACCTCCAACTTGAATTTTTGATGTACAACAAAGTCGCATTTAAAGTGAGTTCAGGGGCACCGTGCTGCATCATAAATTAAGTTCACTCCCTTTTTCTACACTTTGAAGAATAGGCAATACTTAACAGACTTACATTCATAGATTTTACGATACACGGTATTTCCACCTCCATGATTTTGCTTTCCAGCACAATAGGAACTATAGATACATTTTATTTTTATTAGGAGACTAGATTTAGTCTCGGGAACATAGAGTACATAGAGTCGTAATGTAATTGGGAGAGCTGGCGCCACTTTTAAGCATTTTCCATGTCCCGAATTCCGAGACTCCTGTGTGACGCCGGGTCACTTTTTCGATACATAATCGATTGTTTGCGATACACGGGTACCCGGCCATCCGATGACAACAACAACAACATAAAAGGAGAAAGGAATTACCACGTATTCCACACCGCCATTTTGGATCGAAAATGTATCGAATAAGTGACCCAAACTCGGCGCACACCGGGCTCGGAATTCGTCGAGCAGAACATGGCGCCCGCTCTCCCATTTACATTACGACTCTATGTACTCTATGCTCGGGAAGAATCTCTTGTTTATTATGTTTAAGAATTCACTGTTTTTATTTTGTTACACAGATATGTTCATGTTGGACACACTCTAGGTCCATTACTGCTTGGAGAAGATGGATTAATATCTTTATCTGAAGTTCGCCACTTTCTAGGGGTTCCTTCCAACGTTACGTTAATGCTTTGTGCCAACTCTTTACAAGGCTATAGTGCCTCTGATGAAGCTTGCTTGAATAATATTATTCTAGTTCGCTATGGTTTTCAGGTACTGTTATTTTTATTTCTTTATAAAATTTCTTGTATGATGAGTAATTTTGCTGCAGGTTGTTACCTAGATGCTTATTCTTGTTCTAGATCTGTTAGGTTGTTTGTGGAACAGTCAGCTCTGCTCGAGTTTTTGACATCACCTGGAAGACTACTTTTTAAATGCTAAGGGAATACAAAAAGATTTAAATCCTCCCTGGATTGTTGGTGTTTTTTTTCTTTGTTTCTTTTTCAAAACTGCAAATATTTCTCAGACTGTTTTCAAATTGGAAGGTATAAATTTAACAACAGATAATAATCACTCTCATGGCTACATTTGTCTTGCTTTCCAAGCATTTAATTGGTATCGAGATTGCAGCTTCTGATAAGTGTGAAGTAACAGTGTAAGACCACTGACAGCTGTTAATTCTAACTATATTTATGGGTCGAGTTTCTCCTGAATACAGAACATATCCAGATTAAACTTCCTTTCTTTCTTTCATGTATACTCTGAGGGAATAAGTACTCAAACCACCAAAGAATCGGCGATTTGAATATGGTGCTTTCAGAGGGATGCTATTAAACAGATGTATAACCTGTGGCATGTAATATTATTTATGTTCTTTTTTGGTTTTCAGGCTGATTTTGATTTCCTTGCTCCCACCAAAGAGTTTTTCGAAAAAGGCTGCACCATGTGTTTTAGTCCTGGAACTTGCACGTGGAACAGGTAAACATTGCAAAAGCCACTGTTTTGTTGTCAATAGAAAATTTAGAAATTCACACCTATCATTCAAAAATAATAGTGAACAGAGGTAAATGTCGGAGGATTTCTTGCACAGGGTGCATCAGGAAAAACCGGAAAATATCAGGAATTTTGGCCAAATAGGAAAAAATCAGGAAAATCAGAAAAATCGGACGTTATATAAGGACTTTTTCTTACACGAATCTCCTCAGCAGAGAAGTCTTTCTGCTTTTTGCCTACCGTGCCAGCAGTCGTCGTGCCGTCTTTGTTTCCGATAATTTCTCACCCGTAGTACTTGTGTCATATAGTGAAGGCCACATCGCAGTGTTGCTGTTTTTGTGAGATCAAAATTTTCCGTCCATCTGCAGCGCCTGTATTTTATTTGGAATAGTTTATATCGGTCCTTTTTTTTTAATGTGGCCCGTACTCCGGCAAATCACTATTTTTATCAAAGTTTTGAAGTTATTCTCAATTTGTTTGCATTTTGTGGGACGTACGTACAAGGACACCACACAATAGAATCTATCAACAGTTGGCAGACTAGTTTCTAATCATAAGAACTCTATCAGAAAATTTAGTTTCCGCATGCATTTATGCAATAAATATAGTTTTTACGAGAAAAATCAGGAAAATATCAGGAATTTTCAAAATGAAAAAACTAGGAATTTCTCATAAAATATCAGGAAAATATCAGGATTTTTCAAAATTAAACAATACTAGACACCCTGTTGCAGGAGACAGGGATTTTTTACCTCTCCTCGATTTCCCTGTTTTTAGTTTATTTTTGAAAGGCAAATGCATGATTCCGGTCTCTCCTGATGCCATACGCAAGCTGGATTCTTTCCAGCCCACAGAATCACGAATAGTGAGATTTGACACCTGTTATTTGGACACCGCTCCTTAGAAAATACTCTCCTATGGGGTGGAGAGGATCAGCTAGAAGTATTTTGGGGAGTCTTAGGCTTCCTTCCCAGTAAATTTGTTGGAATTCAGTGCAGGTATTTTTTCAATTTCATAACTGTAAGAATGAAGACTCTAGAAATTTATTTTTTCTCGATTTAAAAATAATATTGAACACCTACTAGTTACTTTCTCGTTTTTTAATACGTGTCAGCAGGTTTTTATTTGAAAAAAATCAGGGAATATTTTGTAATTTAAAATCTGGGAAATCTTTTTCCTCAAGTTTGTTGATACCCTGAAGTCACCCTATTGCAGAATTTAGAGGTGTCCCATCCAATTTATTTTTCTTTTCTACATACCTTAAGCCGCTTTTATAGTGCAGCCTCGTGCTCTGCGACGCCCAATCGCCATTGCCCCCTGTCCTCCCAGAGATCACCAGAGAAGGTGCTAATTGCCTGATGGTCTCTGGGATTTTTTTTCTTCTTAGTTTAAATTAATCTCACAATCAGTAGATTTTTTTAGAGATTCTCATTTTTTAATCTTTGATTTATCATGGTTTTTATTTAATAAAGTACGTACGTTATGTGTCTTAGTCTGGCAGGCTGTCCTGAAGCAGCAATTTGTAATGTTTACCGAGCAATTCAAAGCACAGAGATCAATCATACAGTTGGAATTATAATTGCACAGTGGCCGGGAAAATTTAACCTAACTCCATACCTCTTCTCTTGGCCTGGATTTCTGGTTGGTGCTGGTCTCAGCTGGAATGCTAACACACACTTGGTAAACTTTTCTTTGAATTGATTTTTCTTTTTTAATTTTATTTTGGAATTGACGTTTCCCAGCATTCCTGTGACCTTCCATCTACTTTTTTCTGCCTGATAACGGTCCGAGGATTTTTCCCAAATTGTCCATTGGAGTTTTCTTTGATCGTGGAACCTGGTCTCAGTGTATGACATGTGATCATCATTCTCTCAAACCATCAATTTTTATATTGACTATCTACCTACTAAATAAAATATGTACTTACATAACCGTTCATAGGGAAAGAGACCTCGGTCCACAAAAACTAAAATAAATTTCATTGATATCAGAACTGTGAGAAGTGTTCTACCAACATTTCAGGATGAAAATTGCTCAACCAAAATATTGATGGTGAAAGTGTAGAAGTGTGTATCTCGATTTTTAACAGTTTTGTATTAGCTCCATTAAGTATTGTTGAAGATGTTGTCTATCTGCCAACAAGAGATTATAATCGAAGAAAATCGGGAAGTCACCTAAAACAGTAGAACTTTTTTGGCGTATCTTGGGTTTAAGCGTAGAAATGCGTATCGTGTTCTGGCCCCTTCATTTGATCCGGCGCGCCTTACACACACCACACGCTCCTCAGCGTTTCCCGCCAACAGCGCATACACCAGCTGATCAGCTGTTCTATGTTTTTATTTATTTTCAGGAATTCGCTGATTTTGAAAAGTTGCTAAATGCTTATCACTGGAAGACCCTTCAGTATTATTTCTTCATAGTTCATGTCCATTATTCACTCTCTGGGCCAATACAATCATAAACTGACAGTTCATCACAACAGTCAGAGTCATTTAGAGTTGTATTAGAGTGAATCAAGTCTTACAGTGCCTCATCCATCATATTGGATCAACTAAAGCTTTTAAACAAGTTTTAAGTACGAATAAACTCTATTTTTGATCTTAATGATCAAGAGCAGGTTCAAAACGCTAATTGCAGGAATGCGTATCTCGTGATCAAATGTCATTTTCCAATCATACAATGCTTGATCCGGCCGTAAGAGATCAAATGAAAGCTTCTGATAAGGAATTGTAAGCTTGAAACTCTTTTTTAGTCTTTAAATGATCAAAATCCACCAACAACAGGTTTAAAACACTGATTGCATAAATGCGCATCATGTGATAAAGTGTCAATTCTAGTGTCGAAAACGGGAATCTCTGCATTTCTGTCGTATTTTCTAACAGTTCAAGAAAATATTTAAAATGCTGATGGAGTCTGAAAAAGCATCTTATTCTTGCTATCCTCAAGAAATATTACCCTTCTACTGACAGTAAGGAGGAATGTAGACAGTTTTTTTACTCTCCTGGAAAATCGTGTTTTCTGAGATATGCACTTCTGCACTTTCATTATCGATATGTAGTATTACGGTGGTTCAAAAGAGGTTGATGCAGAATTGACTTCTCCCCCCTCCCCCATAGATTCATATAATTCTTGAAATTTCAAAGAATGTACTGAGGGGGATCGTTTCCTAAAATTTCAGCCCCCAAAAAAATCTTGTGAGGAGGGACGGGGGTCAAAAGTTGAACAAACTTTAAGATTATTTAACAATTCAAGATAGCGACATGAAGTTCACACAGGCAACTTTTAAAGTAAACTTTTGAACGAGTAAACACGCTTTATCTCTATCAATCAAAAGTTGGGAAAATTTGACTCGCTCGGAGACTACTATTTCTACTTCCTCGTTGAATTACTGAAAAAGTACCATTTTTGGTTTTCACTAAGATTGAATATTGTTCTTAATAACATCCTGTTCTTTATTGTTGTTCCTGATCATGGAAATTTTTATTGCATCCGAAGAAAATTGTATGTTCACGAGTTATGACCGCAACAGCAACAAAAAACGGTGCTTTTTGGGTTTTCCAGGAGTTCAATGAAACATCAGCAAGAAAGAAAGAAAATACTTTGATTCATTCCTGAGTGATAACATGTTAAATTCCTGCTGTATCTCTTGTCATGCTAAATTGTATATCTGACGATTTTTTTCAAGGATTTTGTCAAGAGTAGGCTAGCAGCACTGCTGGATATGCACATTTTCAATGATGAAAGGATGATCATAGGTCAGTGTATTATTGAACTGGGGCTCATTGAAACAATGGCCTTGCGTTTATCTCGTGCTCAAGAGCAAGATGACATATCTGATCTTCCACCAAATATCGGCTCGTTTTTGTATCGACTTGTCGTTGACTCAGATAATGTGTCTCTGGAAACACTTTCTACAGATAATTTTAATGTAAGTCTCTTTTTTCATCGATTATCCTACTCATTGTACTATCAGAACTTTAATTCAAAGAGATCCTTAGAATTTAGGTAATTAAGGGGATTTAGTGCTAAAAATTAAAAATGAAAAAACTTGAAAAATTCCTTTTTATTGCTTTTCAAATAACCCTTGTGGAATAATTGCATTTCAATCTCCCAATTCCTCCACACCCAGCTCCAGGTGACCTTTGTCTGACTGAGACCATCTAATTTGCCTGGGAATTGGACTAAGAGCCTCCTGATCCCAGGACCAGCGCCAAGACCACCACATCATAGGAGGCCGACGAACTGTAAATATTTTGATAAGAGGTCGGATCTGTGTTCTAAGGCCTCGCTCTGCTTTATCAGGAATGATTTAATGATGATTTACATGAAAAAATTCTCTGAAATGAAAAGGAATGAAAATTATTTTAGTTTGTAAAACATTCAGTATTTAATAAGATATTTTTTGTAACTATGTTGTTTTTATTTTTTCATTTTTTTATGGGCTTGCATATCCCTTAATGCAGTTGTCAAATTAAATCAACTGCTTTATGTTTTTAAAGTGTTTCATAGGTTTTCTCTTTGCATGAGATTAAAATTAGTTTTGAAAATTTTGGGAATAATTTAAGTTTTAACTGAGTTCTCCTACTGGGTGATTTTTTACATCCAATAGGATGCTTTATAAGTTACTTTAATTGTTGAATTTCCAATTACAGAAATTAATGAGGCTCATAAAAAAAGTACAAAATGAAATTTATCGCTCAAAATTGGAGTGCCTCAACGGTGAGATGGTGATTCAAGAACTTCTGGTGTCTGTCGATTTGATGTTGTGTGCTTGTAAGATAGGCAGGGCCCTAGTAAGCAAAGGCATCAACCCGAATAGTAATCTGGGATTAGCTGTCATCAACCTTGGAGTCTCTAACTTATCGCCTACCCTGAGGACTGACATTGCCAACAAGTAAGAACTTGCTTCAGTTGCAGACTGGTTCTGTGAAATATTTCTCTCTGTACAATATGCCCTCAATCTTGGCCACTGAAACCCTTCATGAAAAACATTTACTACATATTCAATGCGTCAAAGTACATTAAAGCTAGAAATTATCGTGTTTTTTGTATGCTCCTGCATTCATTTATATGTGATACTAAGGATGCTTCAATATAATTTAAAATGTGAGCTCCTTCAGCAACCAATGGAGGCAGTAATATTAACTTGGTCTCTCTCTTAATTGCTTTTGTAATTTCAAATTGATTTCCTTAAAATTTGTCTCAGAGCATTTGATTTTTCTTCTCTAAATTTTTAAATCAGTTTTGATAAAAATGGACATAGAACTCATGACAAGAGTTAATCCATTCATTTCCCTTCATAACTCATGGTAGAAGAAAATAGGTACGACGTAGCAGCTGCAGGAAAGCATCATGGGAAAAGAAATTCTCTTGTTGTGACACAGTAGTTAAACCCTCTCTCACTCACACATTAACAGAGCTTTTGTATGTAAACTACAGTCAGACCGTTTTCAACGAACAGAATGACAAAGCAATTGTAAGTAAGCTTTTCATAGAGGCCTTTAACATTCAGATGCCAATCGAGGGCGAGTCGGCTCCATGTCCATGCCTGTCCCCTCTCTACTGTTTAATGAATGGCTGTTTAACAAATATTTGCATTAAATAGATGTGGGATACACGCTTGACGTAACAGCTAGTGCTGTTTAATTTATTTAGCTCCACTTAGTGATTTGATACCTCCCATAAGAAATAGGACCTCAGCGCTAAAAAAATCAAAGCTTGAACATTAAACCCATTGCTTCAAGAATTGATCCAAAAGAAATCGATTTGAAATATTGATTCCCCATGTTCTTGGTGTTACAACTTCAGGGTGAAGTTATAGGAGCCATCTTGGCTAGCAGGATCAATTTTTCAAACGCCAAAATGATTTTTTGCAAACCGTATGTACTATTTACCACGGTGAATGAAACTGTGCAAAGGGTGCAAATTAATAATTGAAATTTGAAATGTACAAGTAATGTGGGATTGCTTCCAGAATCGTATAAGAATCTGTTGTGAGTTACCTTTGACTTTTTCAGGCGCTATGATCAGCCAGTATTCCTGAGTTTTCAAGCGCCAAACCAGAACTTTTTTACAAGCATTTTGAAATGCATCATGGCGCTCACTGAGGTTAAAAGACTGCATGTTTTGGGCTTAAAATACTTGGCAGATATTACAACTTTACCATGTCTGTTAGTATAGTAATGATCTACACTTTTCGCAACTTAATCTTTTGCCTACTGAAGTGTGTTTCCTAGAAAACAATTGAATATACATTTAGGATTTTCATCTCAACCGGAAAAAAATCATTCCCTTAAAAAATTTGCTACCAAATTTTAAGGTCACTTCTTCCATGGATTCTCTCGTTTGCAAAGTGATTTACTTAACACATTTAATTTTTACAGGCTTCTCGCTCTGATAGAGCAATATAAGGGGATCTGGTTGCAAAGACATGTTCCTGCTGGTCTGAAGTATTCCCTCGGAGTTCTCTCAACAGCCCTACAACGATTCGTACCTCAACCAGAATTCCAATGAAACAACAAAGTCGATCAGTTATGTACTTAATCATCTCGGCACATTTTCATCATTTTATTGCTTCCACTTTTCACCTGATGTATACTGAGGGGTGCGTTATTGAAGTGCAGGTGTACCCAGAGTGTTTTTCACCGCACTTCTTGTGATAGCTTGGTCCTATATGTTTAGGATTATGAATCTGTGGATTGTTCATAACCAAGGGGTTTCCCCTAGAGGACAAGGTCAGGATCAACTGAATTTTGTGTTTTTAAGTGAAAATGTGATAAGGGTGTTGAAATACGATTCCATTTTCAACCCTTTCCCTCTTTTTTTCATTAAACTTTTAAGAGTGTTAAAAGAAAACTGTTTGGAGAGCACAGAAGCAGACATGATGAGATTTTCCAAGAAATCACTTTAAGTTAAATAGTTCATTATAACTTTGCAATCTTGACATTGCTTATGCAGTCGTATTTTCATGGTGAATTTCGATTGCTAAGATGGTTCAAGAATAAATATCTCCAACTGTAAGGTTGCAAGTCTCCGTCTATGCTTTATTATTCTAAATGAACACCTACAGACAAATTCTCTTGAAATTCGCTGTGGACTTTCTTCATTCATTCAGCAATATTCACAAAATATCTCAAGATGATTCTCATGTTAATTTTCTTTTCAAAAAATAAAGCATAATGGACTACTAGACAAGGTACGAATTTTAGCATTCTGATACGTGTTTCTTAACCAGAATTTCACGTAGAACACGATTCGCGCAACGAAAATTACTGAAACCAACTCCTAATGGAGATATTAACATTTTTATTTCACATTGGTCACGAGGAATTTGAACTGCCTGCTCACAAGAAACTCAAAGCTCTACGTTAGTTAAATCGCGCACTACAACGGTTTCAGCAATCTTCTCAGTCTAGCAATGTTCATGCCCCACCATGTGTTGTTCAAACTGTAAGCAATTTGCTACAGCTGAGCCAAAGCGTGAAATTGAGGTTGCCAGATTTTTATATCTCAGAGACTGATATGATAAACGTTTAGCGCACGATGTGAATCACGTAGAGCATTGAGTTTTCATGAGCGATTGGTTTGAATTCACGCATCAAGAATTATTGAATATCTTCGTAAGGATGTGATTTCAGTAATTTTCGTTGTGCGCATCGTGTTTTATGTGAAATGTTGATTGCGAAACATGTATCAAAATGCTGAAATTTGCACCTTGTCTAGTGGTCCATTGGAAATTTTTGAATGTGACAACCGAAATATGCCTCTTACGGTGTCAGGCATTGATGTACGTATAAATCACACCATGCTGACTGCTGAGTCTCCAAATATAATACATAGACTGGAAAGTGAAAGAGCCTACTTTTTAAAATTGTAAATAAAATATGTATTACCAGTATCTCCTGAGAAAACTGATCCAACCAACCATGAAATCAGATTTTTGGTGTGACCGTATTGAAGATTATAGAGGCGGATTTTTCGCCACTGATCTCGAAATTACTTTTATTTTTAGTACTCTATCAATTTGATGGCTTCAGCATGTGATAGAATTTGAAATACGGATTTTGCACAAAGTTTAAGTCACCGATTTAAAAATGCACCCTTGTTCATCGCAATAAGCGCAGTTTTATCCAGCTGCCTTTAATGGTGCCTATGCTCAGTCTTCCTCCATGACAATAAATGATGGAAGGAGCTATTTTTATTATTTTTGACTGAATTAAATTTTAAAAATTAAATACCTATTAACCGCCACAGAGTTTCACAACAAGCCATTGAATAGGTTTGTCATAATACGACTTAAATCCTCTAATGTGTTTTTGCCTACTTTTTATTGAGTTTTGATGTAGTTGTTTGTAGATGGCGGCAAAAATGGTACATTTCTGAAGAGACTTGAGGTGAATCCAGGCTCAGAACTTCGCGATTTGGCCACCACCTCGCGCTGCTCAGAATAGCCGTATATATTTGCCAAAATAATAAAAACCGTAATACTTATTCAAGATTGGGGATCCAGGGGATATAGCAACATACTTGGGGAACATTCAGTAAAAAAATCTTCTAAAAATTCCTAAAAATAAAGTCGTAACTACGGCGGAAAGTAATGCCCATTACGGCAATGGGAGAGAGAGAGACAGAACATGAGGGAGTCGGTTGTGCGCTCGGCCGCCGCCTCTGAGCTTAAAGTTTCAGCCGTACTTTCTCTGCGCTTGTAATTCTAATTGCCAATATTTTTGGCTCAAAAAATCAAGCAAAAAATAATCTACATCTTGTGGATCTGCTTTTTGAAATTTGAGGAATATTATTTCAGTAATCGTAGAAGGAAAGTGAAATTCTCAGTGGTGACTGGTGGCGCCATCTCTAATCTTGAATTATCCCTAATCGAACCCTGGATTCACCTTAACAAATCAAAATGTACAATGATTTCATGTGCCCGAAGCACCCAATTTCGTAGCAAGACTTATGTTTCCCATGTGTTATTTTATCATTGAACCCTATTTTTAAGCAAGTTGATTGATTTCAAGTTTTTTTTTCTTTGGAAACAATGGCCTTCTACTTATTTTAAATAAAATAATTGTTCCTAATTTCCATCAAATAAAGGAATGAGAAGTATACATAAGAATGACCACAGCAGAAAAACCAAAGAATATCAATAGGAAAAGAAGAAAAAAAAATGGAAAATGAATTTTAAAAAATAATTTCTATTGGAAGTACAAATTATTAGGGGGAAAAATCAGTCCCCTCTGACAAAATCAAAGGAGGAGAGGCTTAACTTATGACAACAGAAAGATATAATATCCAATTGAGGTATGAACATCAAAATGTAATTAGCAGCCGTTTATAAATTATGTCACACAATGAGGGGCGAAAGGAAGTTTGGGGGGAGGGGGTGGGTTCTGGAAATAAAAGATGTCAAGAAGAATATTACTGCAAAGTTTTGACCTGTTGAACATTTTTAAATAAAAGTGATAAAAATATTGGCAAAAAAATTTGAATTCTGGTATGAAAAGGGGTATACCCAGCAAAGCATAGTGCAGTTTAAGGGGAGAATGGGGAAGTGGTTCACACAAGACCAGGAGGTGAGGGGTTTAAAATTTTGAATTAGTGACATAGTTTATGAGCGGCCTTTAACTGGAAAAAAGAGGCATCAAAATAAACAGAGTATTGAAAAATGCTATTTTAAAGGCCAAAAAAAAAGCTCCTCAGTTTGCAATCAAGATTATAAGAATAAGAAAATACACACATACCGTAGCTTTTTCAGCAGCTGTCACTTTTAAAATGAGGTGATTTATTAAAGTTAAGAAAATTTGCATCTGAAGTATGTTAATAAACACTTAGGCAGCAGTCTATTTTTGTAGGAAACATTTTTTTCCTTTAAACTTTGCTGATAATATGCAGCTAAAAGGTTCTTATCAGATTTTTCTCTGACTGAATAATTTCTTGAGCTTCAGGCAAAAGTTAGTTTTGCTTTGAGAAATCTGTTCTCGGTGTTCACCTTCAGTGCTCTCAACACACCCTATCCTTCTTAAGCGGCAGGAAGTTTATTTTGAGGTCACGTTTTCCTTCATCGGACTTCACTATGACCGCCTATTTTTTAATGTTATCCCAATGCAAACAACTTAAAATAGTATAAAAAATCAACTTTTGCAATGCAACAACACGCAACATTTAAATCCTGTGTTAGTGCTCAATTTTTGTTTTCTTATTTTAGCACCTAACTATGGCAAAAGCCAAAATGACTATCATGTAATTTGGTGAGCATCACTTTAATTTTCATTGGGATAGCGAGGAAAAAATTAGCAGATTTACCCGATAGTTTGAAGATCACCGTCATCTTTGTGTGAAGCCACGTAGCTGGCAACTGGTTCAAAGGGAATCCCAAACCCATGACCTCATTAGTAATTTTAGTGTTAAACATTAATTTAAACTAAAGGAGACAAAGTTGAGAATTTAAGTAGTAGTTTCTTAAATTTTAAGTACAAAATGCCTTTAAAAATTAAAGTTTAGTTGGAATATGTATTTTCCTCAAACAATCTGACATTGAACTATAACATTATAAGATCGGAAGATTTAAAGAGATGGAAAAAACAATTGTGGAGATTAGCAATAATTGCATCATCTTTTTTAAAATAGGGATTAACATACTCAGTTTTTGAAGAGGGGCAGAGATCGGGATGTTTCATGGCGTAATATCAGCATGTCCCTTTTCTTGTTGAAAGCAGGAGTGAGGGGGAGTAACAACTCTCGATGGTTTTCTTTTATGGTGTGTGATTTGAACATCATAGTATGCCATTTCATAAGATTAAAAACACAACATGGTGGTATTCAAGTTGGGATTTCCTTTGAACCATACATCCATTCCAAAAATTTGCAAAAATTCACTATGACCTACACTGCGATTGCCTAATATCATTGAGAAAGACAGTAGTGGTGACCAACCAAGATTTGATGGCCATTTCCCGCATCAGTTGATGGTGTTACTGAATAACACTTGATTTTCCAATATCAAGGAAAACAGCTCATGATACAGCTAAATAGACCAAAATGATGATGCCAATCTGCATATCAGAAAATACCTGGAAACTGCTCAGTTCATCAGTTTTGCTAGATTGCTATACCTAGTTGTAACCCAGTTTCTGGTATTGTTAATTTAATTAAGTTTTAGTGGATCTGGATTCTTAGTTGACCATCACTTCCTGTTTTTCCCCTTATGAACCAATAAACATAAATTGTTTATCTGTAACAAAAAAACTTATGCTAATACATAATCTAAGCTAATACTAAAAGATCAAAGGAATTTATTTCAGTCAATGTAAGTCTGCTGGGAAGACCTGTAAGTGCACTTGGAAAAGCTCCAGCAAACTGAGCAACTTCAGAAATTTTAAGAAAACTAAAGTATGCAAACATTCAGCGGGTATCTTGCATTTGCAAGAGGGATCCACACTTCTGAATAATATAAGGCACTTAAAATTAATGGAGTCAAAGCTTTTTGTAATTTAACAGCAATAGTTCCAACTGCTATCAGCAGCATAAATCTTAGCTATTTGTATTATTTTATAACTTTGTATTGAAAATTTTCCGTTAGTTATTTATTTTATTAAAATATTACTGTTTTTGTTAATCTGACAAATTAATTTCCTCCCTTTTTCATGGGACCTAAAACTGATCATCATGATGACTCCCTTATAGACGCTACTAGTGTTACGTCGTTACATATCAATTCATTCTTGTTGGTAGCATTGAAAGAGGATCATGTCATTCTCATTGTTTGGATCAAATTCAATATAACAAAAAACCCCTTCGGTGCATGACATCACCAATAATAGCGCCTGTAGAGAAATCAAAGAAAATACTATTTGTGGCTTCTTCTCTGCCAACAGAGAAATTGCTAAGGACGATATGTCTGCTGAAAATAGACCAAGCATTAAATGCAAGTTCTCATAATTGGACAGATTTAACCGGAATTAGTGTAGAGGCATTCAAACTACATTTTGCAATTAAGGACTACAATTTCTGGCCAAGTTTAGGAACAACGTATGTAACATAAGTTTCCCTACAAATTATAATTCCTATTTGCAAAATGTAATCCATTTCACCTTGCCTTATGTGACCACATGTTGCAATTTGAAACTACAATTTCTGGCTCAGTTTAGAAACAACATATGCACTATTAGTTTTCCTATGCACGTTAAGTTTTTTTCTAACAGATAAGCTAGAAATTGTAGTTCCAAATTGCAAAGTGAAGTCCAACTATCTCTCATGTTTCATTTTTTTAGACAACCAAACTAAAACAGGGAGCACACAAGGCTTGCAAGAAACTTCAGGACAGTACGTGCATAAAATGATAAAGTTGCGTCATCAAGGGAACACTCCTAGAATTCAGATATTGAGATCTGGGAAACATAGCTTAAATCAGTCTGAATTATTGCTAGCTTTGAACTAAAAAAACTTTTTCTAATAAATGCAAATTCACTGACAACTGACTAGGATAATGAGATATGGCTAATAGGTATATAACATTGAGACAAGCATAACACAAAGTTGATATAAAAAAAAAAAAAAAAAAAAAAAAAAAAAAAAAAAAAAACCTGAACTGTGGATTCAGCAACCCGCTTTGGTTCGGGAGTTGACTAACATATTTAATGAATAATTTGGTGACGATACAATGATATGAAACACTTAATTTTTGCCAAGACCGCTTTTCATAATATTAAGGATAGACATTTTTTTTTACTATTTTCAATTCCCCTCTCTCGTGACCCACAAAATCATGTTCTTGAAAAAACTTAATCAGAAACCATGTGCAATAACTATTATTCTTTTGAATTTTGAAGGCTCACTTCTTGTGATTTTTAACCTCATTTCAAATATTAGCTTTGAACCTTCATCGACTTTGATTCTACCTTTCAAGGTGATGTTACTGAATTTCGCAATTGCCTGGGCATAATACCATGTACCTATGATGCAACTGCAGAAAAAAGGACTTAAGGGTGAAAAAAATAAAAAATGAGATAACTTTATTTTCACAAAAAAAGGGTTAATTCTGAATCATTCGCCACAAAAAGCAGAAGAAATTCCAAAAATTGAATTTTCTAGAGCGTTTCTAAGTTTGAGAGCGAAGAAATGTGATTTGGGAAAAAAACGCAGTTTTGAATTTGAAACAATTTGACTCTGAGAATGTGGCCTCTTCAACATTCAAATTGAATTCCTGCGTATGTAAAGACCTCAATACTATATAGTGAATTCTGGTATACTTGCTATCGTGCAAGCACGCGGTAACAGTCGCTCATCCGAGAAGAGATAGAGTCCTCGCGCTGCTGCCTGTGTCTGATCCCGTTCACTTAAAACGCTTAGGACATGGTTAAAAATGCAAATTATGTCTAAATTTTAACTTAATGTTCTTAAATATGCAGAAATATTAAAAACTGAAAAATCAGTGATTTTTACCGAAACTACAGTTTGTTGCTGTCCTGGATTTAGCGACTCATCTTAAGTCCCCATTTCCTCAGATGCATCACATATGATAAACATACCAATGGTAAAACTAGTAAAACACATAATATGATTGTGGTGTTTCAAAGACCTCTTGTGTTTTATTTGTGCAAGAGAAAATTTTTACGATTTTTGATGAAATTTTCAGAGAGAACTCCGCAAACAGCAAGAAAAAACCACAAAAAATTTCATCAAACTACAATGATTGAGTTTCCTTCAAAGAAGTAAAATGAGACAGGAATCTCGTAAACCAATATATGCATTTCTAGTTCTGCTATCTACTTCTTCCTGAACATTTATATCAGATTCTTCTTGACTAATACACATTGGAAAGATGGTTCCAACCAGAACTTGGTGGTATGTATTTGGTAATAATAGATGGTAATAAACAAGAACAAATACAATTTGTTTAAATGTCAAGCTCCTTCATTCTACGTTAAACATTTGAAAAGTAACCCATCAAAAAATACAATGGATCAAGGGTAACTCATTAGTAAAAATGGTTGGTGGTTCCACTTCCGTTTTATTGATGGTGCACGTGGGACAACTAATGCAAATTTTATGCATCACTCATTTGAGAGACATAGATTGAGCTAAAGTTCACAGATATATAGATAAGTTGACACATTTTAGAGAGGGACAGAAGATCACCAGCTTTCTGTTTAGCATTGAAAGTATAAACAAGAATTAAGAAGGCGGATCTTCTGTCACAGTATTTAAAAAGGGTAAATTTATTTGGAGTCAACTCTACTTTTATCTTGCACTGATACAATGAATGACATGACACACATTGTTTTCCAAAAGGCAATATCTTCGTGTGTATTAGATGAAAAAACTCTGCAAACCTTCATAGATCTATAGCTATATGCTGATCTACAAACCTCAATCATCACCATTCCGTGACAGATGAATGTGTCATTTTTCAACTTCATCGGTGAGTTGCCTTATTTAGTTTGGTATGTGAGGTAACAGTACGGTTTAAAATTTTTCCCAGCTCGAATGGCTCAAAAAAGACAAAAACTTCTCATTTCAATCAGAAAAATCGAGCTAACATCATATACAAATTCACAACATAAAATTTTCCTGAGTTTAATAAACACGAGCAAGCTTGTTTAAGTTGTTCATCACTAATTAACTAAGTCAACCTCATAAAGAATCATGAGACCTACTAGGTAACACAAATATGAACTACTTGAATCCAAATACTCAACCAGTCCCTACATTCTTTTACTTCACGGATTATTTTTCTTCCTGACACCATTATAAAGAAAGTCTCATGCCATCTTACATTCTGAGACATACATACAGCTAAAACCGTTGAGAAAATAGTCTGAAACTTTCTTTCCTTCTAATTTTGAAAATATTAAGTTAAACAATTCGAAAGTAGAATCATGAGAGAAACTTTATGGGCACATTTAGGGGGGGAGGGTCTCAGTGAGAGGAGTTCAGCATTTTACCTGAGGCCTGTTCATGTCCGCATCTGAGTTTTGAGAGGGTTTTGGGTTTCATCAGCAAATTTTGCTGGATAATTGACACAGATTGACCCTAAAAGATTTCATTTCATTGAAGCTTTGAAGAACAAAAAGGTTACTTAGCGTACATTCTCCCCAAGTATCACAGCACATTTTACTTCAAATCAAGAAAAAGAAAAATCAACCCTAAATTTAACATACAAAAATATACTATTTGTCAAAAGTATAAAATTGAAAAAAAAAAAAAAACAAAAACAGACTAATTAAAAAAAGTACACTTATCAGGAAGAAAAATACAAAAATGTAAGACACTAGAAGCCAAAAAAGAAAAAAAAAATAACAAAGGTAACTAAACAACATTCAGCTCTTTGAACTTCGAAGAACATTTCACAAGGAGTTTTTGAAGTTCCTGGAGTTGTAAGAAACCTCTTTCTCTCACAGACCTGGAAACACACAACAAGAGAGTTACCTAAGTGATAGTGGATCCGCAATTGTTTTTCCCTCAGAACTACCATCCAAATATACTCTGAAAATTCGACTATGCTGAGCAGAATTTTGACTTGTTAACAAACTGTAGCTTGCAAATACATATTTGTCCCAGTATTATCAAAAACATAATTTTTTCTATACCTCCACAGGCCCACCCCTAACTTCAACATGTGGCATACTCATGTTTATACCTTCCGCCTGGCAACGGGTGAGAATTTTGGTAGAAGTAGACTTTGCTTAACTAACTGTCTTCTGATGAACCAACGATTTTAAAAATGAATTTTTGCTAGTCAATTCCAATTATTTTTTAAAAAATCTCAAGATCTCTATCCTTATCCGTTACCTACGAGAATAGAGAGGCCGTAACTGCGTTTCTGTGACATCATGCTTGTAGATGAAACTTGGTCAACCTAAATTGTGTTCTTATGGGTGAACGCATGATGCATGTTCTTTTTGTGCTAAAATCTTTTCAGGGGTTGATCTAATGCAAAAATTCATAAGAACCTTTTTGAAAGAAAATAAAATTTCACATCAGAAAACTGCCCAGTTCATACATTACATCGTCCTATAGTTGAGGAAATAAAAACTAAACACGACAAAATACCGAAAATCATTACCCCACTAAGATTCAAACCCGCCGCTCAAGCAACTTTGGCTGATCAACTGCGGCTCTGACTGGTTAACACAGCGATTACTCTACTAGTTTGAGGTCACAAAACCATGTAGTTACGGCCTCTCCATTCCTGTAGGCAACGCCTTATCTTAGTTTTGGAAAGGGATGAAGCCAATTTCTTGCTCTTTTTGCACAGAACATCCTTCGAACGAAGAATAAAATCCTGAAATACTTCAATTTTTCATTTTTCAATTTCATATTTTTTTAAGAATATGAAATGAAGAGAATAATTGTACATAGGATGTCCCAAAACAACTGAGACCAACTCTGTAAATCAGAAACTGTGAAAGATATTGAATTGTGGTTTGTGAGAGGTTGTAGTCCATACTATTAGCTATCAAACCTCAAAATTTGAGCTTAGTCGGTTGAAAACTCGCCAAGTTTAGAAATTTTTTGAGGACGAGTTGCAGATAACCCTACAGGATTTTTGAGTACTTAATTTTTCATTTCGCGAAAAGTTCTTGAGCCGCACTGCAAAATTCAACGCAGTGGATCATGTGAGCACTGTTCTGAATGCAGGTTTTAACGTGTTAACATGTGTTTTCATCGCAATCAAGACATTTCGTCCGCGGCTACGGTGCCGATGCTGGCCTCTGATGTGGAAGTTGACGGACGGCTGCCATGTGGAATCAAAGCTGCCGACTATCGACCCTCGGAAAAGCATTTATGCCAGCTAAGAATGGTACTTTCGCCAAGTCGATTTAGTCTATGAGGAACTGTCATCTTATTCAAAGTATCAGTGGCAGAAAAGCCACAGCAAATGGCATAACGTTGTTCTTGTTTCAACTTGGCCGGCGAACTCATTGCGCTCCGCGAGTAGACACTGCGTTACATAAACTGCTGCTGGTTTCGGCTGCACTGAGCTTTTTTGCCAACGAAATGTCTTGATTGCGATGAAAAAACATTTTGACAGGTTAAAACCAGCATCTAGAACACAGCCCACATGATCCACAGCGTCGCAATCTGCAGCGCGACTCAGGAACAGTTTGCGAAATGAAAAATTACTGGAAAATCCTGTTGGGTTATTTGCAACTTTTCCCCGAAAAATTGCTACAACTCAGTGACTTTTCAACCAAATAAACTCAAATTTTGAGGTTTGATAGCTAATGGTATGAACTACAACCTCCTAAAAATCGCATTTCAATATCTATCATTGTCTCCAAATTACAGACTTGGTCTCGGTTGTTTTGGGACACCCTACGTATTGATCTCTTTATTTTTTTAAAATTTTATTGATCAATATTTAAGGTGTAATTCCTTTTGTATCCTCTTGTTCTTATAATTTTGTATTGTCCATCAGATCAAGATTTCCTATCTGACTGTTAGGTCATGCATTTTCCGATTAGAAAATACAGTATGATGGAAAGTCTACAACACCACAAGCACAGAAAAGAATTTTCATACTTTTTCTGCTATTATGTAGTGTCCAGAATTTGCTAAGCATAAACTTAACTGGAGCTCATCAATCAAAACTGACATTCAAGAATTTCACTCTTAATAGAGAATTTTGCCCCTTAACAAGCTGATTCGAGCTTGGAATCAAAGATGGCTCAAAAAAAAAAAAAAAAAATTATTTTTCAATTTTACTTCAAAAAGGTATGCAATAGCTCGTAAAAATGAAGTATTAGCCAAAATAGCTTTTGACTTGCTGCACTAAAGGAGCGCAGGTCAGCGATCGACCTTGGCACTACAGTCCATTAAAGGAACTGGATTGAATATCTTCAGACAGCTTGTTAAGTCACTTTTGGTTGCTGACTTACGCACCTAAATTGACGTATCTTAAAAATGCTGGAAAGATATTTTGTGCTAGGTAAACTGGAATTTGGAGAAGAGTGAACTTTATAAAAAAATTAGGTTTACTTACGCATACTGAGGATCTGTTAAGAACTGAAATGTATCAACTTTGGGAATTTCAATTGGCGGTGATACATTGAGGTAAACATTAAGAAACTTTGTCAAAATCTCATTTATTTCGTCAATGTAATCTGATTCCGGAGACAAGAGCTCTGCACTAGCTTTTGCTTCCTCCAGACTGAAAACAAACCAGATTGTCAGAGTGGAGAGGAAACTTTTTTATAATTATTTAGAATCATTTGAGCATCATACAAACATAGTCATAAGACCATCTGAGGGAAAACCAGTCTAAAACATGAAGACGGATTTTTTTTAGGAGAGCCATTTTCACCGAGTTAGATCTGGAGATTGGTTATTAAGTTTTCTACACTAAACATTCTTTGGGACACCAAAATAATTAGCTTAAGGAGTCAGAGAAGTAATTTCTTCCACTTTCATGGTAGTTGTGAGTGTGATGTTCTGTTTCTAATTGTCAGTTATGATCTTCAAACGTAACAAATTTAAACATCGAGTGACTGTAAATTTAAAACAGTCAAAACACTGATCGTAATATTTTCAGGCGTTTTCATACGTAACCAGAAGTATCAATTTAAACTGATCATTTTTTTTTTACTGACAGGTACTTAAAAAATGAGAAAAATTGCAAAATTTCAAAAATAGACCAAAGGCTCATCTTGATATTGCGTTATAATAAGAATGCATGGACTAGTGGAATTACCTTCCGAAGGAGCAAATGAGATCCCTTATGAAAGCTTTTAGCTTAGTATGTTCATCTTTCAGTTTAGACAGTTTTTTATCAACTATCTCTACATCTGTTAGATCATTCGGAATATGAAATACACAACACATGGTGGCACTGAAATAAAAAAAAAAAAAAATTAATTAGTTCATGCTGCTTTGTCTCATTATGAAGGACTCAAAGGTATTTGCTGTGAAATTATGCGACTTATGCCTTGTCTCAATTTAAAAAAGATTCATTTCTTTCCTTTCTTCCTATTGTATAGTACAGTAGCCAAAGTCTTGCAGTTCGCGATTTGCCTAAGTTTTGAATATAAATTTTAAGGCTGGACACTGTTGATTAAAGGATGAATTAGCATGTAGGAGATTATCTAAAAAAAAGATATCTTTTGTTTAAATACAAGAAAATATTACGAAGTGAGCACATTGCAGTCAGCGAATTACTTTGAAGTGTATAAAAAAATTGTAGAAAAAATAAATAGACTGTAAATACTGACTTATGCAACAACAACTTCCCTGCTATTGACATATTTTTTAAGTCACATGTTTTATTTTTGGAGTCACCTGTTGTATTTTCTAAAAATCAAACTTTTTACGACTGTTTGAAGTAAGGAGGTGAAATTTTTTACGACAAACTAATAAACAGAATCACTTGAAAATTTTACCTAACAGTTTTTTTACTATCCAGATTAATCCTTGGAAGTGTTTTCTATCGAGATAAATCCCTGAAAGTTTTTTACTATCAAGATTAATCCTTGAAATTTTCATGAAACTATGTGCAAAATTTTTAATGGAAAAATTAAAACAATATCGAGACATACCCCAATATACTTCCTGAGCGTAAATGGCACTTGTGATATCCTGCACGGAAGGAGCCGACATTACGTTGCAGAGCTAAGTAAGAGAATGTGTCATGAAGATCAATCGGTAAATAAATTGATTAAAAGAAACTTACCACATATTCTTACAATAAATGTAAGATCTGTCTAGAGCACTGCTGACAGAAACAGAGACACGAACCAATGATTGGGAATCAGGTGGTTGAACAGTCGTTTGTTGGTCCGCAATTGGATGGATGACATTATGAAAAACGACCTCTACTTCAGCACTTGAATGAGATGAATCCGGCTTTGAATTACAGTTCACCTTAGTGCCAAGGCCCATTTCAGACAACTGTTTCCTTAATTCCTAGGGAAACATCAAAATTTGATCAATCAGCCGATACTTCTGCCAATGGCTTGTGAAACTGAACACTTGGCATTTTAACAAGTTATGGGCTTTACAGTAAATTGTTAATAAAATTACTTAATCTTGTCAGTTTTGCACACATCTGCATCAATTGATTTAGTTCATCATTTTTTAACACCAAGATTTCTATTCCACTATTAAAATACAAAAAATAGAAAAATCCTGTAGAAATGAATTACAAAAATAAATCTATCATAATTGACCTACTGATTAGGTTTCCCTAGTTTGATTTTACTGCCATATAACAAGTTAAATATCGACGGTGCAAGTCGGCAATCACATAACTCGTTTGCGGTGTCTGAAAATCTCCGCAACTATGTTATTTTTTTAAAGGAGAACAAATGGACATTATTCCTTGAAGTTTTTGCAGAATTTTCCACGCACATAGAAGAAAAATCACGGAAGTTTTAAAGAATTACCGTTGAGTAGTTTTCCGTTTAAAAAATAAAGTATGACAGGAAGTCTGCGACGTCGCAAACCGAGTTATGTGATTGCCGACTTTCACCGTCGATATATCTATCTGCTTTGACTCAATGAAAAATACGTTTTGGATGAAAACAAAACCGCTGTCAAATACAACAAAATGTGAAAAAAAACAGCACTCATTAAGACCAGAAACTCTTTGTGTTTTTTCTCATAAACACAAAAATTCAATTAAGAGGTATAATTTAACGAAATGAAAATCATCTTCAGAAATCAGGCAAATGGCAGAGCACCAGCAATGAGGATTAGTAGCACTCATGAAAAACAGATTACACTTCCAAGGATAAATAAGATTCTGTGCAGATGTACGATTTTAGAGCAAGCTCCTTTGACGATATGAAGAAAGAAAAAACAGAAACCCAAAATATCATATTTATAGTACACATCCAGTGACTTTATATGTTGATGAGTTTCAACACAAAGCACGAAGCAAGATTGCTTCTTTTAAATTGTCTCTCAAGTTCTTTCCATACATGCAAAAAATGTTTGCTCAGGCCCAAAAAATGAGGGAAGGCTCTTAAAGAGGGGGAGGGAGGGACAATTTTTTATGGTCATAAGTTGAAAACCAAAGGGAGCAAGAAGAAACAGGTTCTCTCTTCTGAAATTGGAAGGAAATTTTATGGAATGTCGATAAGAAAAATATTGAAAGCCAGCCGGTGGGCGAGCAGGCGCATGAAAAAGTGGAAGTTGGGAAGATTCTACACCCCTGGTTCTTTGCTTTAGAATATAAATTGTGCATACACGGTTACATAATCTTTGGAGAGTTTTGAGCTCTGAGTTTTTTTTTTTTTTTGCAGTAAAGAAAGGGAAAGGGGAAGAAAATTTGAAAACTCTCTTCATTTGCATGGACTGTTGAGAATTAGTCCTTTGTAAAAGCAATCGAAGCTTACTGAAATAAATCACTACATAACACTCAAAATATTGAGGTTTTCCATGAAGGGTGTAAAGCAAAATTCATTTCACTAAAACTTCGACAATTTTTTGGACTGGGGACCAGCAAAAAATTTCATACAGTTCCAATTTTGGGCCTCTAATAATGTTGAAATGTTTGGTTTTTTTCCAATTTTGTGTACACTTTCTATCCTCTCCTTGTAAATATGATAATAGCCCGTGCAAAATTGCCAGACAGTATGGGTTTTCATTTTTAAGAACTGAGCACAGCGTAGAAGATGAGGCTTTTGAATGATTCACGATGTCAACAAGCGGTTTATAAAAAGGTTTGTTTCTGTATTGAATCAATCTCATTTTATCTCTGACAGTAAAAGTAGATCTATATTTTTTTGCGAATGCTCCTTCCAAAAGACTATGAGCACAGAACAGAACTTCAGAGTCAGAAAGAGGCAAAAATGCAGTCTAACTAATCAGCATTTGAGTGGTGAAATTGTGCAGCAGAGGTCACGAATACACAGAAGGGACAACACTGACGGAAAATGCAGTAGCTAAGACATGCGTGCCTTTTTCCCAACTTCTCTGCTCGGCATTCATGGAATCTAGTTTAATTTACATGGTAAAGATCATACTCAGATCAAAGAACTTCCTTCTTTTAATCGAATATTGACTAAATCAAAATTTGTTTAAAATAATTTAATTTACGTTGAAAAGAAAGTGATTTTTTCTGGATCAAGAAAAAATTATAGGTCGAAAAATGTATTATGTTCATTGAATCAAAGTTTTACTGTAATTTTAATTTTGAAGTCCAAGTTTTTACTTTTGTTTCTAATTCTTTTCATTTTATTCTATTCATTCATTTCTAGTTAAAGAGTTAACTGATCTGGTTGATGAAAATTTTGTTGCTTTCAGAAAAAAATTAGAATGAGCCACTTACTTCTATCTTCTTTAGCATGACTTGAGAATCATCTTTGAAAGCATTTTCAGCACCTAGGAAGCGTATAACTACGTCAATGGCTTTAATTGAAAGCATTAAAGTAGGAATGGTAACTTTCGATCCTAAAAAGCAGAATAGGAAATAAAACATGGTTAGCAATGTTGATTAAATGATTACATGAGGGTACTCCGATATAAAAGACTAATCTTCACATTTTTGAACACAAACGTTTTTCTTTACATCACACACTTTTGAAAGACAATTGAAACAAAGGGACTGGTGAAAAGGTGGAAACTCCTTGGTTTCCAGGTTTTGAAACGTTAAACTTTTTGGTTTTTATGCACCGGTGGTTCCAAAAAAATTTGACTGATGTGCAAGCAAACTATGAAAATGACCAAACTGCGGTTTGTTTGGACTTAAAAGGTAACATAATAAATTTCAAAAAATGTCTAGTAAAGCTTATTTGGTTAGAAATTTAGTAAGCTACAATAAGAATTGTTGAATGGAACCCTCCACTTTTGCAAACAGCAGAAATGAGTCTAGTTTGCTGGGGCACCTTTTCAGCAATGTCACTAATGACGATGAGGAAGTATATTAATGTCAACTGCAATCATCCAAAATCGACCAATGGCTAAATTTTTGGGTCTATGTGAAAATTCATGCAAAGTTAAGGAAGAGTAATAATACATTGTGTTACACCAATGTGCTTTGGGCATGTATTAACAACGTCTGATACATGGAGTGCACACTTCCTCATTCAAACTCCTTTAAATCGAAAAGTTTGATAATACAAAAGAAAATCTAATCCTTTGAAAAAATCTCTATTTCTTTTCTTTTCCAAATAAAAAAAAAAAAAATCGTGACTGTGTACTCTCTTAATTTAAAATTTCTGGACCCTGATCAGCAAATGGATCAGCTGTGTAATTTTTAGTTTCCGTAACATTAAATAATTCAAGGAAGGATTGCATCTTCTGTAATAAAAACTCACAGAAGGAGACATTCGCTGATACAAAAGTTGTGGTGGCTTTCTTTTGATGCAAATTAGTGAAATTAGCATAAAGCACCCATAGTAATAGGCATGCAACTTTGAGTTGTAGAGTATTTGGCCATCTCACTTCAAATTAAAATATCTTAAAAAATCTTTTGAATTCAAATTTTCTTTAAAACTGATCTCTGTGATTTAGAGTTTCTCAAATTTAAAAATTCTCCGTCCCTTTAGTTTTAAAACTAGAGAGCATGCACTGTAATAGAAAATACAAAGAGTGTGTGAAGACCCATGGTTTGTTTCCATGGTGGTACATTCGTTTCATTGTTCTGAAACACTTGCAAGTTTACGCAACCAATTGTTTCAGGGTGATATCTGTTGCTAATTTTTTGTCATCATTAGTGGCCCTGATTAGGTTTTGAACATTGTCTCCTTCCAGAAGAATTATTGTGATATCCTTATGAAAATTGAGAGGTTGACTCTTTTCAAACCAGATCATGATTCGCTGCGAAAATTTTATAAAGCAGGTTAGAATAGAGGATGGCATCTCATGAGCATTTCAAGCCCCTTCAAAAGCAGTAAAATGAGAGAACAACGCTGTTGCAAATACGCCCCAGTTGCAGTTCATATTTTTATCTATAGATGAGTATACCTAAATTCTCATTTTTTCATTCCACCGACATGGAGGGGCTTCAGAGCGTAAGCAACCCTAATGTGAGGTAACTCCTTTCAATTGAAAGGCTTAATAGTTTTACATCCCTCAGATACTTTTATCGATATTGAAATAATGATTAAATATTGGTAAATAAAGATCATACGTAAAGAGAACAGTCAAAGCCAAAGTGAATGTGTACTACAGACGCCATTTTTAGGAGAAAGTACCAAGAGTGCCAAGTTTAGAAAGGTGAGATGTTCGACTGCTGTTTTTGATAATATATACCTTGTAAGCTTGAGGGTTCCAGTAAGTATGACCCTCTTTTTCAATTTTTTGACATTTTTCTTGCGGGTCTTCTAGGGCCTATCCAAGAAGAAGCCGAAATAGGAGTCCAATAGTTTCATAAGGTGAAACTTCTTGCCAAACTTTGATCAAAATCTAGGTGGGACATTACAAGACCTCCCTGCAGTTGTGAAAATTCAGCCCTCTAAATTGCAGTTCCAGAATTTTTGACACTCTGGTATTAACAGCACACAGTTTAACCATGAGCCATTGCTGAAGTCACCAAGTAAGGTATGTGATTTGTCTACCTTCTTACCTTTTTCTTGAGAAACAAAAAACATTTGAACTTCTTTCACAGCTTTCGTAAAATGCGTTTTTGGAATTTGTTTACAACAAATCGAGAGACCGTGTTTTTCTAATACTGTTAGGCAGTCTGAAATGGCAGTCCACGGAGGCTTGATGCAGCAATGTTTTGCCCAATTCTTCTCACCAAAACATTCAGACATACCCTTCTTAATTACCTGCAAAAGAATGAGGAAAAAATACTGTGAAAGAGAAGGTTTGCAACAGAGAACATCTGGTAGTTTCATACTTTACTTTTAATATTACACTGTGAAAGTCTAAATTTTTTATTTGTCTCAGGGAAACAGGCCTTGGTATTCAGATGTAAATGTTTACCAAAAGCTAGAGACCTCTGGACAAGGTCCGCATCCAAGCAATAAGACATTATGTTTTCTCATTAACATTTTCCACAGGACACAACTGTTGTAATGAAAATTGTTGAAAATAACTCCCGATCAAGACGTTAATGATTTTTGATGCATAAATTCAAACTTCCTGCTCATAAAGAATGCAAAAAAACCCATTATCTACCTGAGTTAAACTACACACTAAAAGTTACTGGAAAAGTCTCTCTGTACATAAAAGTGGCAACCACAATCTCGGCGCTTCGGCTCAGCTGTTGCATGTTGTTTACACTTTGAGCAACACAGGGCAGGGGAGGAACACTGCTCCATAAAGAAGCTTGCCAAAACTGCTGTAGTGCACGATTTGTGTCATCTAGATTCTTCTCATGTAGAAGATGAATGATCTACGATGAAAGTAATGAAGTACATCTTGTGAGCAGGAAATTTAAATTGTTTGTGGCTAATGTTAAATGAAAACGTTACAATCTTAGTCAGGAGTTAATTTCAGCTATTTTCTTTGTGCAAATCATGTTCTAGGGAAAATTCTGAAAAGGTGCCTTCAGCCTTCAGGTACCTTCAGGTGCCTATTGGTTCATTTTTCTCTCGTTTCTTTTCGGAATTTTTTTTTCCCCTTCATTTAGCCTTAAGAAAGTACACAAAATAAATATAGCAAATTATTTACAATTAGACTCTATCCTTAATTTCTAATTTATCACTATTACTTAAGTCATATAGTACTCAAATTAGGTACTTGTATCTCGAGACACGCTGGAATCACCCTCAGGTATGTCTTCGGCTGGAACTTCGTTACTGAATTGGCATTTGGGTTTGTGACTGACTGCTTTTCAAAATCCAGAGCATAAGTTTTCGGACAATTAGTTTATTTTTGTGCCACTAGTGAGCGTAAAGTTGTACTTCAATTTGATGATAGTAAGCTCTGCGTTTGAGAGATTGAAACTTCAAATCATTTTTTGAACTGCGGACTCCAGACAGTCATGACTACAATTTAGCCTCTTTTAGGCATTTTTTGTGCCAAAATGTTTGTAAAATGCTCTTATAAGCAGATGGATGGATAAAAAAGTTTTGTCATTTAAATTCAACTTACCACGCTAAAGTATTCCATTAAATCAGTTTTTAGAGCACAAGTTAAAATGTCAAGTTTAGTATCAGCCGGTGAAGTAGGTTCTAAGTTGGAACATGCTTGATTCGCCTTCTCTTCTATGAATCATCAAAAAATTCAATTACTTTTTCCTTGATATTAGTACAATACATAGACACTTAAAATGTTTCATAAAAAATGGAAATAAATTCGAAATGCTCCCTTATTCTTCATGTAATAACATAATCCTTCATATTTCATTACAGTTTTACAAGGCTTGCGCTAACAAAAGAAGGCTTAGAAGTGACCGCCATCGATTTTGATGCAGTTTGCGGTAAAAAATAGTTCATGTGTAGTTGATTGACGGATGCTATTGAGGTTTTGCGAATAGACCTCAAAAACCTCCCCAAAAATCGTCTAAAAATAGCCTCTAATCATCGTTTGCTCTATAAAGATTCAATTTACTGCTGTTGCCATAATCGCTGCAGTGGCGCAATATACAGTACTCGCCTAACAGCCACAAGGTTGAGGATTTTAACCTCAACTGTCCCAATTTTATTTTCCCCATTTATTTGAGTTATATTTTTTAAATAAGATTAAAATAAAATAATCATTAAATAAACAATACATCTCCCCCGAAAACAAACATATCTTTCAATGTATGACATTCTTGATGTGTAAAAACCATGAGAATGTCTTACCTGGAAGAGGATGTTCTGAAAAGGTTTTTTGTATTGGTCATTCATTCCTTTAATTTTACTTTAATTCTAATGAAAAAATACGACTGGACAAAAATGGGGAAATAAGTATTTGGGTATTTCATTACATTGCGCTTACAATAGGAATTATTTCGACTGAAATTTTTTATTATTCATACCATTTAGTCTTTGTTCCATTTGTTCCCTGGTATAGGCACATATATTATTGATCTTCGCCTTTGAGACTAAATTCTTATCGTCCGTTAAAAGTTCCTGAAATAAATATTGTTTGATTTAATAGAGAAGAACAAAAGAGAGATTAAGTAATTTCTAAAACAAATTTTTGTTACTTTACCATTATAATATATTCTTTCCTCCAATTTCGGCACTTTGAGGATTAATGGTACTCATTACCCATGTATAATGATGGAGATTTGATACAGATAAAATAGCCTGGTTTGCTAACTTGACACAGCCATGGCTGTCAATTTGTTACTCAGATTCTTTGATCAAAACAAGTAACAAAGTGCCGACCACCTCTAACCAAACCTGAATACTTCCTTCTTCCGAAGTATGCTTCAGACAAGACAGTTAATACCTTTCATGAGTTTGCCTCTTTTAGTAGTAATTTTCATACTCCTTTAATATCAGCATGATTTCTAAAATGCAATTGCTAATAGCTTGTTGTAGATTGAACTGACTCAAATCCTCAATCTCATTTTGATTTTTGGCCGCATAAAAACGGAAATTCAGTGCATTTATTTGCAAGCACCTCCGGTACTAAGAAAATTATACAGTCAAAATATGCAACATTCCCATTTTCATAACTCTCCATTATCATGCTGAAAGAGAGGAAAGCTTCTGAGAAAGTTGTTTAGTTCAGTAACACACAAATTAACTCAGTTTCTGAGGGAAAATATAAAGTCTCACCACACTTTTTCCACTTTTGATCAGTTTGATAGCGCATTTTAAAATCATGTCATCTGGGGCTACGTAGTCTTCTCCTTGACATTCATCATGCTCCTGCATGGTTTGACCGCGCACTCTTGGATTTTTATTCGATAAATTTTCGAAGAGAAAATTCTTTGCAATGTTGGCTTTCTTTTTGATATTGGTACTACCGCGATCTTTCAAAGAATCAATTTCTTGCACCACTTGCCACGGAACCACTATGGTAGGAAGACCAAGGCCTGAAGGGGACCGCAGAAAAGGATTAGAGCACTTTAAAACCATAGGAACAGATATACCTAAATTATTTTGTTTCGAGCTAAAATTGGATCAACAATTGCACAAAGGACAATTTAGAATACAGAATTGCAAGATCTCCCTTCAAATTTTTGGAGGAAAATGAGTAGCAGGGTGATAACTAAAAACTGACTCAGAGGCAAAAGAAAAATGTTTAGAATAGTTTAGTGATCTTGAAAGATGATAAAATCACTAAGCCAAAAGCTACAGTAGAAAAATGTGTATCTTAGTTTGCAAGATTCTAAGTCTCCGCTCATGTTTTATTTTTTTTGAAGGCACATTAACTTAAAATTTCTAATAAATTTTCTTGCAATTTTTTTCACTTATTCAAACTACAAAAATTGCACGGAAATACTTTGATTCGTTTTAGTACATTTTTGGCATTTGGCTATCAATATGAATCAGTAAATAGTAAAAAATAACATTTATTGAAATTTCATGTCAAAAATTGTGAGCAAGAGGAGATCAACCACTCTTGTTAATAGAGGTATTCTTGGCATGGGTGGTCTGTTGTTAGCGAAATGGATACATTTACGCAAAAGAGGTATACTTGCATGGTAAACCCAATGCAGATAGACTTTGTTTGTGTAAATATGCTCAGATAAGGAAAAAATTTGGGGAAATTTTAAGCGATACACCCGGTTATCTCTCATCTACGAAGTTAGGATTTCTTCATCATCTCTGTTCCCCCATTTGACTGAGTCCTGCGATTGCCTAAGCTGGGTTTTTCTTTCAATCAGTTTCATTTGATGCCACTATAAATGTCCACTAAATGCCGATGGACTGTTTGTTGCACCATTTCTAATTGTCACAAATATATTGTCACTGTGATCGCAACTTTGATGTTTAGAAGAATCCCTGGATTCACAAACTTCGGGCAATCTAAATGTTCTCACCAGTAGAATATCTAAGTCGGTTTAAATTTCAAAGTGTGCTTGGTTTCTTGGTCAAAATTTAACCCTTTGCTTATAATGAGGGCACTGTAAGCATAATGCAAAGGTTACTAATCAGAATCATTCTTTGTGGATAGATTTAATCTTGTACCTTTGAAATAAGTGTCCCTTATGCGTACAACAAAAGAAATTTTGGATAAAAAGATATTTGTATCGATGACAATACAAAATTCAGCCTTGGGAGGAAAAGTAATTGAACTTTGTTCCGGTAGCCAATTTGCTGTTGTTTTTTGCTGGCACATACTCATGAAGTACCTAGTTTGTTCAACCTATTAAAGAAAAACAAAGATTGTTAGAATCCATGAGTTATGGGAAAAGAAGAGCTTTGAAATCAATATTTAAAATTTAATTCTAGAGGAACCACATGAATGTCAACCCAAGAAATGAGATTTATAAGTAATTAAGTCACATGCAAGCTCTTGGTGAGAATTCAAGATAATAAAGGCTCCTTCCCTAATGAGTGCTTCTCAAGGGACGGTAATTGTAGTAATTATACTAAGTACTGACTTGACTGATGATTAATGCTGCATCATTGAGATGTCGTTCACAACCCTGCCTACAAAAACATCAAACTTTTCTTGAAACTAAAGATGCAGAAACTATCTGAGCAAACGACCTGCAGATCTTGGAAATACTGAAGGGCCATGAAAAGTTGATTCGAAAGTTGGGAAGGTCCATCAGTTCATATCAATTTAGAAAAAAAATCATCGCTTCAAACAAAATTTGAGGATTGAGGAGTTTCAAAAAAAAAAAAGGAAGATAAGAAAATTCTGTGCTCTCACTCAGACCTGTAAAAATTAAAAGCAAGAAAAGAGGCGGTTATTTGATTTAAGTTTTTACCTGCGTCATAATTTCGGGCAAAGGTATATCTTCCCAGTCCATTGGTTCTTCTTCATTTTTTGTATGACTGATTTGCAAATTTGGTTCAACTTTGTGGGACAGTGCAGTCTCTAAGGACTGACTCTGCTGGACGTTGATTGTAGTCCTCTCAATTTTCCGGGCGTTCTCTAATCGTTGTTGCACAGAAGAACCTTGGGACTTGGAAATGGTGCTTTTCTTTGGTGGCTCTGGATTATCTTTCGCACAGTCATACAAGTCTAAGTCCATCATCTGTTGATCCTCAGCACATATGTAGTCTTCTTCCTCCAGATCAATAGTTTCCTCCAATTCCTCCCTAAATTGAACCCGCTTGCTAGCAAGCAGGTTTTGTTTGTCCGCTGTTTTTTGTTTTAATATATTTTTGGGCTCTCCCGAAGAGACTTCATCAGTTTCTTGTTCTAATGCGTGTTCAGGATTTTTGAATGACTGTGCTTCACACAGGAATTCTGGAAATTCTCCTTCAACAGAGGTTCTCCTTCTGATGAAAGTGCAAGGTGACTCCATAGCAAGAACTTTGTCGCTTTGAGGAGGGGTTTTCTTTTGAGTATCTGTAGAGAAACATGTAAGCCTACTGGAGGAATCAGAGCATTCAGAAGTAGATTTCTGATTAGAGCTTGACAAAGGAGCTTTAAACTTTTCTAATGCAGCGTTTAGTTGGTTTGATCTTTCTGACATAGACTCTCCACAGACTTTCATAGATGTTGATTTCCTTTTAAGAGAAATTCTTGTCTCGGTTTTTTTCATTTCAGACTTATCTTCAGATAAATCCAGCTTCCGTTTCTGGCTGTGTCTGTATTTGTTCTTATTCTGGTCTGATGATGGGGCTTTGTCTGTAAAGTTCTTTGGCCATTTAACTGAAAAAAAAAGTGAACGCAATTTTTTTTATCAATGCAAGGGAAAAGAGAACCAGCGATCATACAAATTTAAAGAAGTCGCCTTATTTTACATTTTCAGAGTACACTGGCTGACCTCCCAAAAAAAGGGTTTTTTCCATGGATTTTTCAGCAAGTTGGGGAGACAGTTCTTTGGTGGTCCGTGCATTTACCGCGGCATGAATGTATTTTCCAAAGATGTTTCACACACTGTGTATTCTATCATTGAGTCACAGGTGCATCTTTAATTTCAGTTTAAAATATTCATTTTTTCTCGATTTCCCCCTCCCATCCATAAAAACTGTAAATGGTCGCCATTACAGAACATGAGGGCCAATTTCGCTAAGATTTAATAGAAAACCAGTCTTAGTGGACCACGAACTACTATTTCAATTTCAACTCCAAATATTTGTTTTTACTCAAGTTACAGGGTGTTGAGATGCACCATAAAAAGGAGTACTGATAAGACTTACCTACATCAGGTCGTTCTTGGGAAAATTTGGAAAGCATTTTATGAGGGGATAGTATTTTAGCAGAGTTTGCGGTGATTCTGTCAAAAACATCAAGAAATTTGGAATTTTGGCAGAAGCTTTCGTCCCTTGTAGGATTATTTTGGTGCATTATGGGTTCCATTGATACAGGTGGTCTGACTGAAAAAAGAAAGCAGAAAACTCAAGGTAATAGTTTTTCTTCTGTTCCCTACCCAGCACAACATTTCTTGAAATCTTTAATATTCCTTTGCCCTTGCAACCCTGAGAATATATGTATAGGAAAAAGTAAAAAATGAAATGATGATTAGGGAAAACAAAGAAGAATTCATTCTCAGTAAGGAGCTTTGTGTCTTGAGGATAGAACGGCACAAGAGACAAGTTAGACTTAGATAAAGCTGAATTCTTTGCATAGAATTTAGCAGGTGTGTTTAAACCAAATTATCAGCCGAATGTTTTAGAGGAATTTATGAGAGGAGCTATTCGGTAAGGAAGTATAGTTTCCTTATTTTCCATTCAAAGAAGTTACACAATGAGTTGCCAAAGGAGAGAATAAGAGAGCACTTGGATTCTTTAAATGGCAGACATAATTCTCAAGGAAATGCGCAAGAGAGCAATTGTATAAAATACATTAATTAACTGGAATTTTTTAATGCAATCCTCGATTTGGAGTATGTCCAAAAACAATTATGAAAAGCGGTTAAAATATTGTTCCATTAAAATGACAACATTACCATCCTTTTCCAGATCAATTTTGAGCTAGGGTTTTGGTAAGTAGTGAGACTTTTAAAAAAAGTAAAAAAGAGCATGATGTCTCCTCATCAATTTGGTTTCAAACGTGAACGACTCAAATTAAAAAAAACCGCATGGAAAGCACAAACAAAAAAAAATGAGTAAAAGTTGTATTTATAGTCGTTCCTCAATCAGATCCTTTCTGAAGAGAGGACCCACATGGTTTTCATTATGACTAGGCAGGGTCTAAACGGCCAGATACGCCTGCTTGCTACACGCGTGTCTTGACCCGAAATGTAGGATTCATTCCTACCTACTTTGAGCAAGTTACGGGCGGCAAGTTGCAACCTGATTGGCTACAAAGATTGCCAAACAAACCTCCAATGAATTCATTGGTATAACTCTGAAAATTGGTACTTACAAGGGATCACAATGATTAGCTATCTTAAAGAATACAAAATATGAAAGAAAATGTTTAGAGAGTTTTTGAAATTTTAAGGAAGCTTCGCACCTACCTTAAAATTTGTCAAAATCATAGATTTTTTTTATTAAATTTTTATCGTTTGGAAGTGGCAAATCATTGTGGTACCTTGGGAATCCATTTCCAGAGATACACTACTGAATTTTTTTCAAGATTTGTAAAAATTGTCTTTTCATTGATGCTATGTTCAGGCATTCTTAGGCCTGCCTTCAAAACAAGAAACTATTCATTGAGGGCCCTCCTGAGATAAAGAATTGATTAAGGAACAACTATGAATGTGGCCCTGAGACCTTCATTCAGAAAGATGCGATTCAATAAAGTTTCATTGTGTCTACCATGCCTTGTGGGAAAAGTTGATGAGAATCCATTCATTATCGTGTGGTTGGTTTCTAAACTTGTCTGGACGTTCATACCGAAAGTGATGCCTTTTTTGTAATTTGGAAAGTATGTGATAATCATGGCTTGAAGAAGAAAAATACAAGATTTGAAAAAGAAAAGGAAGGAGTAAAAAATTGATGAGATACCTGGGTTGCCTCTGCTTAAAACTTCCTTCTGCGCTTTGAGCAAACGATTTTGCACAGAATTCTCTCGAAAAGTAGAAGCACGATTGGAAGCCTGGGCAAGAGGATCCAAGCGGGGAGGTCTCTTTGATGGGTAGTTCTTTTGACTTTGAGCTTGTGGGCGACAATTTCTTTGATTGCTGGAATTATGCCTCGGTGGAGGAAGTTGATCCATATCTCTTGAGTTAAGGTGGGGTTGAAAATATGGATCACTATTTCTCCGATGATGAGGCTTACTACTTCTTTGATTGTTGAAATTATGCTTTCGGGGAGGATGTTGGTCCACATTTCTTGACACGTGGGTGGGAGCAAAATAAAGATCACTATTCCTTTGATTGCTGAAATTATGCCTCGGTAGAGGAAATTGATCCATATTTCTAGATTTAGGGTGGGGTAGAAAAAGTGGATCACTATTTCTATGATTGTTGAAATCGTGCTTTGGGAGAGGTGGAAGAGCCGTGTTCCTTGAGTCAGAGTAGGGTTGAAAGTATTCATCATTCTTTCTTTTATTGTTGAAATTATGCCTTGATGGAGGTGCCTGAGCCTTGTCTTTGCCCATAATAAACTCATTGAAGATGGATCTAGCACTGCTTGGACCTGAAAATTGAAATTGAACAAAAAATTGTTGTAAAGCTGACTTTGCAAAATAAAAATTACATACATGTATCATGATAAAAATCCCTCAAGAAGTGATTGTGAGAAAAAAGAATACAACAGTGAACTTACAGCAGTTGCTTTTTATGTTCAGATTTCTCACGCTTGGCATCTCTGAGTGACACTTAGTTGCATACTCGAAGGATTGGTAGGTAAATACATTTATTATGTACGTTTATTTGTACGTATTTCTGCCTTTTGGAAGGTAGAAATGGAGATAAAAAAGCGTTTCTTTGTTTATCCTTTCTAACACTATTTCAAGGGTGCAGAAAGTTCATCAGTGTATACTTTCACCAGCGAAAAGCAAATTTTCCTTGCACACTATTACACAGCGTAGTCGAATTCATTTCGACAAAAAGTCAGTGCAATCAAAGTAAATTTGACAAAGAGATCAGCACGATTGAAGTAAATCTGACAAGAAATCGACGCTGTTGAAGTAATTTTAACAAAAAATCAGTGCGGCTACTGCCACAATGTAAACTGTTCACCCACAAAATACAGATCACCAGTTCGTGAACATTCTGCACGCCTATATTTATTTCCCCCTCTCTTTCATGGTTCCTACGATTTTGGTGACCCCAACAAGATAAGAAAATGGTAGGAACCTCAAATGAGGAAGGAAAATAAATATTAGAAGGGATGGAAAAAGAGACCTATATTTGATGGCATAGACAGGCACATAAGACAGGCAGCTTGACCTAGTAAATACGCATGTGAAATCTTGCAGGGTGCCAATATTGAGTACATTGAGTTAATTCAATGTCAAACAAGCAACGCAACTGAATTTTTAAATTACAACATGTATAAAAAAAGAGAACATTATTAAATACCTGGATTCTGAGAACAGTGTGAGAAACGATTGGAAGGTCTGAGAACAGCATCACTTCTGGAATGTGATAGGTACTGCTCATCACTGTCCCATACATTTCTCTCTTGTGGTTGAGCGGAACAGTTGAAAGATCTGGATGGTGCAACAGCATTGGGAGGGCATAGCCAAGTATTGTTCAAATTAAGCTCTTCGGATGGAAGAAAAGAACTTTCACTTTCGTACGGTGTGTGTCTGTTATAGTGTTCATGTGACCAACTATTATTTATAAGCTTCTGTTCATTAAATCCACCTTGAACTCTATTTGAGGCTTCATTCCTCTTATGAGGTGCAAGCGGTTTTTCAGTGATATTTCTAACTGAGAACCTTGCTTTCTGTAGGCGATCATTTACAGATGATTTTTTGCATGAGAAATTAGCGTTAGAATCCATCCTTTTCCAAATTTCGTTCTTCTTTGACCCACTTGAATTGCTCGAGTGATCTGATTGTGGCGATGGATTGCAATTTTGTAGTTTTCCTATGCTGCTTACGTCATGAGAGTCTATGATAGGACTTGAACTTCTAGAGTGACTGCTAAAAAAACGATTGAGAGAGTTGGAGCAGGATTTTCGATTATTCTGTTGAGACAAAGAACCTAAAGTGGCACCAGATAAGTTTTCGGTCACAGGTGTAGAACTGCAGATATGTGACTGGTAGCCTGAGTATGAATCTACTTGTAAGGCTGATTGATTGCTGTTAGAGTCAATACAATTTTTTGCAGATTGCTCATTGAAAGGCATTGAATCTGGTGACTTACTTGAGCTACAGTTGCTTTTAACTTTATCCCAGGACGAGAGAGATTTTTGGGAGTCACTGTCGGAGTTAAAGCTATCCCTTGATAAGCTGACAAGATGATCTGATAATGATCGAAGTTCGCTGCTATTTGGAAGCTTGCTTCTTCCAAATTCTCTTGCTTGATCTGCTGAGTCTACTGGACTTGAAGGTCTGACAATAGCTTCATCAAGAATTGATTTCCCCTTAAGTGGAGTGGGTGAGTTGGACAATGTCTCAAGAGCTTTTTGCAGCTGTGGTTCCTAAAAGAGCAAGGAAAAAAGTTATTGGTGAGTCATGAGAGGGAGATTTGTCAAATGGTTGAAAGAAAATATAAACATTTAGATTTGACAGAGGAGATTTGACAAAAGCTTCCTACACTTCTGCAAGCAGGGACATCTATTTTCTCAATTTGATTCAGGCAAATCATTTTTATTAACAGAAAAATCCATTTTTTCAGTTCCATCAATAGTGCTTTAGCTAATTTGTTGCTATCAAAAAAAAATTTTAAAAGCAAATTCTCTGCTTAAGCGAATCAAAGCTATCAGCTAGGAGAATCATTTGGATCAGATACCTTTTACTTTTACTATACTTGATACTTATTATACTTGACCGCTACCTGCATTCCGATTATCAAAACTAGGTCGGGATGATAAGACAAGACAGAGCCCTACATTAAGCATCCAATATATTGCATTTTGACATTATATCAGGCTCCTATAACCTTTCAATAATCAGCCTGCTCCCGACATTGATGAATAAAAAACTTCACCACCTAGACTTCGTAGCGCCTGGAGCCTCATTGTTGAAATGTAAATCAACTTTGTCAGTAAGATAAGACAAGACATAGCCCTGTCTGCACTGTGCGATACATCCATTTCTCACTCTTGTCGTATGTACCCATATAAATTTCAACAATAAGGCTCCTCTTCACCATTCATAAGTACCTAGTCTTGTTATAGTTTCAGTTAATGAATAGCAGACTTCAAAATGTAAGTACAACATCAAATGAAGGGAAACACAATGCATCCAAATGATAGATGGAGGCTATTGGCTGAATTGAGACAGAACTTTATCGTTCTTTGTTGAGAGTCCTAACTCCAGTGCACACCAACCAGAGGCATTAGGATAGACTTAAATGCAGTTGCGTACTAAAATAGGCCTGTTTTTCTAGTATGATTTCGCTAAATACCAGGGTATAAGATATTTATATGAATTTAAAATCAGTATGCATGTGCTTCAAAAGCAAAGCGCAGATACTTACATCAGGGATTAAGCCAGCATTTTCATCTGAGTTACTTAAGTCAAAGACTTCGGTGATACGGTCCTGCCAAATTGATTGGCGAGTTTCACTGTGATAAAAGTACACTCTACCGGGATGACTCCTAGACGGATAAGCTATCCATCCCGGAGGTAAAGGCAACTTCTTGGATTTAGTTGGCTGCGACATCAAAGAACATTACTTCTACGACATTAAAACTCTGAATAGAACATGAAAATGTAATACCTGTGATAGCAAGCGTAAATGTTCGTAGTTTAGCTCGGTGAAAGCAAAAGTGACAGAAATTTTAGTCTAACTAAGAGGAAGTCAATTTGCTGAAGGTACTCTAGCTGAACTGTAACGTAACCTCGTTGCTCTTTGCATGTCTATGCACTTTTGGGGNGGGGGGGGGGGGGGGCAGTGAGGCAAAACAAATTACGAAAATACGAAAGCATGAGCCTGTTGCGCAGGTTCACGATCACGATTCAACATGCCGTGAACGCTATCTAGCGGATTTCAATTTGAGCCACATTATCAAAGTTCGTTGCTTTGTTTACATTAGGTGTAGTGCATCACAGCATGGACGAAGATATTACTGCGCAAGAGACCTCCAATCCAACTTCTTAAATCATAAATCAGTAATCTGCATTTGAACACAGTAATTGCGATGGTCCCATTGTATTTTTAATTTTTTAAATGTGTGCACCCTAATGCCTGCGACCATTTAATCACAATCCAATTCCTTCGGTCAGAAAAATGACTGTAAAACTAAAATGTTGCCTTTTCTTAATGTTTGATTTGAATTTCTGTAAATAGGCTCAATCATTTTGCACTTTTTCGATTTCATAAGTACATAAGTGACTTTTCTTTGTCATGGCTATTTTTCCCCCAAGTGAACCTCATACAACTGTGAATTTTCATCGTCTGATCATTGATTTGCAACTATATGCATATATTTG